CAAAATACATTACTATTACCATTGCATTAATGTGTGCATAAAAACATCTGTGCATAAGGCCCAAGCTAGAACAGTGTTATCACAGTGTGTGTGTGTGTGTGTGTGTGTGTGTTGTGTGTCTGTCTGTGTGTGCACATGTGCTTGGCAATGGTATCAAGCCAATCACAACAGTGACAAATATAGCTTTCATTATCATGAGCGAAGGCTATTAACTGAGCAATCCTGGGCACAAATGATCATAGAATGTATCGCTCCTACTATGTATATATATCCAGACCATTTCAACACCTGTTTCATTAATTCTGTGGCAAACAGTTTGAATTCCTTTCACATCTGGCCACTGTGCAAAGCTTATCAACTATACTCTTTTTTTTAATCCCTGTGTTTAGGTTTGGAATATTTTTTCCATTTTTTTTACCAACTGTAAAAAAAAATCCATAGTAAAAATAACTCATATATGATACATATACCCAGAATGGTCAGATTTTATATAATAAAAGATGAAAATAGTCACTTTTTCATAATAAAAATAACTTTTTTTTGCTTATTTTACAATATACTTAATATTCTCTTCTTCACTTAAAAGTAAATAGGTCCTGTGTTGGAAAGCAGATTTGATACAAAGGGCAAAGAGGCTGATCATAAGCTTATAAACACTTTGCACAGCCACACTCCACATGTCTCTCTAGCTCTTCTGTAAAGGAAGAGCCATCCACACACTGGAAGCCGTATTTCCGTCTTTTGCTGCGGAGAACAACACAACACTGATTGTTCCCACAAGTGCCATGACATTCCACACGAGGTACCTTCACCATGGAGACACAAGAGATGGAATCTTGTTGTTTCCGAATGAATTCACGAATAATCTCTCCTTGACAGACATTTTCTGTGAAAACAAAAGCATGGCTCAAGTTCATCTTTTAAGATAATCTTTTATAATCTCTTTGATAAAAAAAAAATCTGAAGATCAAGATTAAAAACACGGATTCATGCCACATGATTTAAAAATATTGGCAGAATAAACTGCTATAAATGATCCTTTTCCTGGATATTTTGGTGTTAAATTACTATTAGAGAGGTACAATGTAATATTGGTGAAAAAAACAACAACCAAAGCAGTAGTTATAAAAAAGATAACAGCCACCTACGTAAAAGAATGATACATAAAACTTGACTAATGAGGACTTTGAAACTACACTGTCACAAGGTCTGGGATAACAACCACATTTGTAGTGATCTCTGGAAACTTATTTGAGTAAGAGCTATGAAGCTATAGGGGACAGATGCTGAAAGAGATAAGATGACACTGTTTAGTATGTAAAGATTCTAATAAAGCTGTGACAGTAAATATGGAGACAGTGACATATTGGAAGTCAATTCACATACGAATACCAAAGAAAGGAGACTTAACAGAGTATGCAAACTATTGTATAGTATTCTTAATTTCGCACACTAGCAGAATAACTTAATAGAGCCCTACATGGAATGCCTTTGTC